CTTATCAGCTTTAAAATAACTTAAAATTTAAAACACTAACCCCCCGCCATGGCACTATTCTCAGAGATAAGCATATCTCTATCAGTAAACTTTCCTTTTTTAATCATTTATCTGTCTACTTTTCACTCTCTTCACTGCCACCTCTTTGGTCCAAGTCAACATCTTCTCTCATATGGATTCATACAATAACCTCTCACTGGTCTTCCTGCTTCCCCTTTTGCCCTCTGAACGGCAGCCTGAGTCACATCATGCCTCTCTTCTGTTTAAATCTTTCAGTGGCTTCCCACTGAATTTAGAACGTTGCCATGACCTACTGAATCCTACATGCTCTGGCTCCTGTGAATCTTGCTAACCCTGCCTCTTCCCCCAGGCTCTGCAACATGGCTTCATCTGTATTCCTTGAACATGCCACAATTGCTGTGCCCTTTGTCTGAACTCATCTTTGCACTCTTCTTTACCTAGCTGATTTCTGCTCATCCTTCAGGTTTCAGCTTAAATGTCACCTGCTCAGAAAGCTTTTGAATCAGTCTTCTTTAGAACACCTCCCACTCCCTGCTCTGGCTCCACTGTCTACTCTGTTATTGCACATGAACTTCCTTTGTAGCATTTATTGCTGTGGATAATGGTCTTGTTTTTTAACGTGCTGATTGTTTGTCTCTTCGGTCTCACTGTGAGCTCCAGGAGGGAGCCATCTGAATTAAAGAATAAACAAACAAAAATTGAGGGGAGAGAAACTATTAAAACAAAGCTTCCTAATATAACACAACATATAAAATCTTGGCCATTTTTTAACTCCTTTCTCTTCACAGGATCGACTATCACTGTCTATGAATTGCAAGCCTGCTGCCTAAATATTAATTTCAATATTCAAAATTTTGACCCCTCTCTCTTCATTGTATTAGCAACCAAGGCCTATTGATTCTTGCATCTAATTATTTGAACATTTTGTCTTACTCTCATCTTTCAACACCATCTCCAACCATCCCAGTCAATACCCTCATCCCCCTTCCATGGGTCACTGAAATGGCTCCTAATTTCTCTCTCAGCTGTCAGTCTCCATAGATCCTCTTTCTGACAGATGCATCTTCTCAGATCACTTTTAACTTGTCACCTCACTTTCCAAAAACATCCATGCTGTATCTCATTATAGCAGGTCTAAAATTCTCAAAAATCAAATTATTTTGAACCATACTCTGGCCATCTGCATCAGTCAATAATATTTCCCACTATTCCTTTAAACAATTCCTCTGGTCTACTCAAACACTTCCTTTTCTATCCTCGAAAAGAATCAAGTTCATTCCCCTCTTCGTATTTTTGCTTAGCCATGTCACAGACTCGGAGGCTTTTTCCCCTCCATCAATCTAAACCAAAACATCTTCTTCAAAGCATATTTCAAATCCAACTTCTCTAATGAAGACTTTGCTTCCAGGTCCAGCCCACATGTTCTTTCCTTTTTCCCATTTCTTATAGCACTTAAACCGTTGTTCCACATAACATTCGATTACACAAGACTTATTTCTGTTATTCTTCAGTGATTTCATATGTGTAAATTTCATCTCCCAAATTGGATTGCAAGCAGGGACTGTGTCCCTCACACTCCCGGCAGTCTCAGAAGCAGCAGTGACTCACCAAGAGCTACTTACATTGACTTCCCGATTGACGTAGTCCTAAGGATGAATCCATTCAACTACAAATCACAGTTCTAGATGACTTGCAATTCCCAAACAGAATATACTTTCTCTTACCCCTAATCTTTCCCATATGAACTCCCAATGCCTAGAATGTTCCCTGTCCACCTTTATTCACCTAGAAAATTCCTAATTCTCTTTCTAGTCTCAACCAGGACACCATTTACTAAGGAAAGGGAAGTATCCCTTGCCCTTTCCTTACCCACGCCCCCCCACCCCAATATCTATGTAAAGTGTCGTTCCTATACATTCCCATTAAATTCTCTTAACCCATAGTACCTGGCACACTATATTGTAAATGATTATTTGCCCATTGGCCTGCCTGACTGGTCTGTATGCAAATTAGGCTCAAGTAATTTATCTTTTATCTTTACAGTAGCAGAGTGATGGTGTTTTATTATTTGTTGAATAAATAAATGAACAAGCAAGCAAACAAGCTGGTAATGAAATCTGTTGAAAAAGCTAACAATTTAGCATAAGAGGTATCAATTGAGTGTTATGTAATTTCCAATAATCCACAGTCCATACCATTTAGAATGGCTATTTGTTTTTAATTCCAAAAATAATTATTAAGCATCCACTATGTGTCAGGCATTGAGGATACAGAAAAGATTCAAACACACAAAAATCCCTAAACCCAAAGAACTTGCCTCTTACTAGGTGAGACAGGCAATGGATTATGGTTTTTGCTCTAACCAAGCTGGAAATCACAGAAGAATTCTGAGCAGAAGGTTTCCTTCTGCAACGATGCTGATGTTGAGATGATGCTGACTTGGACCAAAATGGTGGCAGTTTGAATGGTAAGCAGTAGTTAAATTATGGATCTACTTTAAAGGAAGAGCCAACAGAATTGACGGATGGACTGGAAGTGAGGTAGGAGAGAAAGAGAATAGTCAAGAATGGATTTTAGTCTGCCAACCGTGGCATGGAATTTGTGAAGGGTTTGGAAGGGTATGATTTTGGAAACAATGAGTAGACATATGAAGAGATTCTCTAAAATTAGGCCTTAAATTTTAATATTCTACTTTGTATAATTGAACTTCCCTTGGGCATATTTCCAATGAATAGTGAAGGGCCCTTTGTCTTCTTAGACAAATTGATAACACTGAATAAAAAAATCTTGGACCACTGCAGCCAATACAGCTCCATGAAGCACTGCCTGTACCAGGCACCCTATATAAGTCACTGCAATTTATTCTCCCAAACTGCCTCAAGTTCTATTTTTAAATGACTAAATGCAATGCAGCTAGTGCTAGAGGTTACAATTTCTATAATTGCTAAAAGTCAGTTCAAAGCTCACACAATTATTATCATTAGCAATATTAATAATTGTACTTTGAATTTTATTGAATTATGATTTGGAGGTCAAGTAGACACTTACGAAAGAGGCCAAAATTTTTACCCTGGCCTAGATGATAATCTAGTTCAAAGTCAGAAGAGATGGCCTTGACCTGGGAGAAAAAGACCATGGAGTAAATGTGGGTAACCTAGAATGACTTAATCCACCTAAGACTAACACTTGAGATAGAACAGTAGGAGATTTGGGCTGTCAGTCAGCTCCCTAAACAACCTAAATAATCAGCTACTGTGCTTAATGGCTATAATTTGGGGTAAGGCTGGTAATAATGGTTTATTTTTTTTTCATGTGTTGAAGTATATGTCTGCAAAACTTACTGAATTTGGGATTCAAAAAATGAGACTGTTTATAAACATACGATGCAACAGCAAGTCTGCATAATAACTAAGTCTCTTGCAGAATAATTTAGCGGTGGTCATGATGAGTTATAACTTGGACTTTTGAGTTTTCATTGGGCAGAAACTAACCATTCTCACTCAGTCTGTGAGCTTTTTTTTCCTTCCAGACTCTAAGTAGTTTACACAATAAACAGTTATTTCCATAGTAGAAATGGCCAAGATGTCTAAGCACCAAAGTTAACCTGTTATTATGGTTAGAAATCAAGGTTACCATTCTTCCAGATTTTCACAGCCACACAACTTTTGACCTAGCTGATGGAAATGTAAGAGTAAATATAGTTCCCTGACCTCTTAACAAAGGCAAAAATCAACTTGCTAAGGTATTTATTTCACTGGCAAGTGATCCAGCACAAAGAGGCATTACAGCGGATTCACATAATGACAGGACACTACAAATTCCTCTCAAAGGGAAATTTTAAGTGAGAGTTCATCCATAAACTGACCACGTTCTCTTATTTAGGACTTTGATATAAAGTACTGATTTAAAAACCTTATATTCTTCATAATTTATTAACGACATCAAAGAATAAAACTAAAACTTTTAAATCTTAATTCACACCCCATAATCAGAGATCAGGCCCATGAGAGGAAATCTCATCACAAACATAGGTGGAAGGGAAGAATTCCCTTTTGCACTCCACCATGTATTTTCTCCCACCTGAAATTCCTTCATAACTATAATGAGACAATTTCCTTCCCTATCTTGAAAATTACGCTGCAAACCCACCTCTACAGTAAGACAGCTGTAACCCTTCTGAATCCTCACAGCCCGGCAAGCGTGGCTTTCACTATGGGGTCTGTATTTACATCCTCGGGATAGTTCCTGAGCACTGAATAACTACCAGCAGAGACGTCATCACGTGTACCCATTCCGCTGCCTAGACGGTGCTCAGTGTGAGGACAGTCAAGCCCCCAAAAAAGACCATGTTCCACTATGTAACTCTTTTTAACATTACAACAAACGTGATTAAAAGGCAAAATAGCAAAGGCTTAAACTTTAATTCTTTTTGTAATCCTCACATTTCAGTGTTAATTTTTATACATTTTTACTATTGGAAAAACAACGTGTGAAAGCAGCAACCCTGGAGTAATCATAAGAGACAAGCATACAAGAACGAGAACAACCTGGTATACGGTAGAGTTGAAATTTACAAATTGAAAAAGGTGATAGCGAATGAGAACTTCATGAAAAGAATGCCAAAATTGTACACAAATCCTTTCTTTCTACACTAAAGAATCAAAGACGAGGAAAAACTTAAAACTACTTGCCCCCCAAAAATCATCATTTCAAGCCAGTTCTTGACACTTCTATCCATTAGTCAAAAGACTCAATGCACTGCTCTTGAGTTTCACACGTATTAAACTTAACTCAGTATTCTGAAACAATAACGAATTCATTTCCATCCTTCCTTTGTTCAAACCTTTAAAAGTCAACTTACTGAAAGCTGGTTGTCTAACTTAAGTGGAACATTTTGATCAACCGTAAAAAGTAAATTCAAACAAATGAATTTTAGCTTACAAACTGTACCAAAATAAACGAAATAAGTTGTCTCCTACCTATGGTTGTAATAACAGTGCCAGCAAAGAAGAAGGAACTTCCCAAATCCCAGTGACTGATTTGATTGGAGGTGTTTCCTAAAGGGATAATTCCCGCATTTACTGCTGCCACTATTTGCTGCAAGTTTAAAAAGAAATTCATCAGTACACAGGAATCACATGGAGGCATCAAACAGCATTTATCCCACCCCGATGACTAATTAGACAAAGAGAATCAATTCTAAGGTTTGCTCTTCCATTTAAAGTGTACAATATAGGTTAAAACTTCATACTAAAAAATTTAACAACGGTTCAATTATAAGAAAGTTATTTGATATCAAGTGAATGGATCGGCATGAAGCTTAGCATATTGTACCAATATGCATTCCTATCATCACCATTAGCATATTTAATGACTTACTTGAATTAACAACTAAATATAGCAATGTTCTTTAGTAAGCACCACAGAGTAAAAATATCAAGATTGCAAACTACAATTCAATTAATATATAATAGCTTCATCAAAAACACAAGTATTTCCAAAGTGCTAATCATTTCAAATGTGAAACGTGCATCTAAGCCTGGGGGAGATGTAACAGTAGAGAGTATATATCAATATATGTAACAGTAACAGTGTAGAGTAACAGTAGAGAGTTGTAACAGTAGAGAGTATATATCAGTAAGGTCCAAAAAACAGGCTAAGATGAGAAGAAAAGGCAACAGCAATTCACCATCACACTTAAGCCAGTCCATTTATACCTACATTCTTAGAATCTCATCTGATTTTTATAAATTCTATGACAAAGACCTGTAGATGACAGTCAACGACATTCATATAGGGACACTAGAATCTGGCTGCTACCATGAGTAGTACTGAGGGACAGACAGAAAGATGACATTTTAAATCCTTTGTCAATCATCAGATGTTTGGGAGGAGATGGGGAGGTCCAGAAGCCCCAACATGGAAGAGAATATGTTAGGAGAAAATGTGCAGTAAAAGAGAAACACACAGATTGTAGGAAAAGATGTTTCTGTTGGGAAAATAGTTTTAGAAATCTTTATCACTTAATTTTCAGATTTTACAATTGGAAGGAACTTCACCTGATAGGCAAGAAAATTAAAGACCAAGAGAGGTAAAGTGATTTGCTTAAGGTTATATAGTTTACTGGCAAATGGACACAAACTACCCTGTGAAAATGAAGGCACCATCCAAGGAGGTGACTGTCAGATGGAAAAGAGCAGGTAATCCACAGCAGAAACGCAATATAAAATCTCTTTTGTCTGATTTGTTTTTATCCATAAATTAAAACTTCAATAATTGTGTGTAAAGTTAATTGGATTGTAATGCTTCTACTGACTTTAACAATGATATTATGTTCACTGTAAAAAAAAATTAGGGAAATACAGAAAGGCATAAAGAGAATAATAAAAATTATTCATAATTTCAGAATCCAGAGATAACTACTGTTAATGTCATAAGGTATCTGCCCCTGGTATTTTGCTATACTTTTACATAGTTGGATTTATGAAGCATATGAAGTGTATTCTCTATTTGTACTTAGTATTATTCTATATGCAGTTTTTTCCTGTCCTTACCATATTCGCTTAATCATTGCCTCATATGTAGACATGCATGCTGTTCTAAAGTCTAATTATAAAAAGTGCTGCTGTGAACATATTTGTGTATAAATATTTTTTCATTTCTGAATATTCCTCAGGAGAGATTACTAGAAATAAATTTGCCACATTAAAGATTATGAATATTTTAAAGCACTTGATGTATAGGAGCAAGCAGTTATCCAAGAAGGTTGTTACAATTTACAGTTGCCCCCCAACAATTTACACATGCTTAGCAATACTGTTACCTCCAATATTAGTATTTTATCTTTACTGAGCTGACAAGAATTTTTTACACTTATATCTCCTTGATTGTGCGTGAAGTTGAACACTAATGCTTCTTTTATCATATACTAAATGCACACACATACACACACACACACATATAGGTACAGCATGCAGTAGAGCTAGTTTTGAGAGAACTGATTCTCTTTATCTGATTGTCTATTGTAAACTTAATATCAGATAAGGCAGTTCTCTCTGACTATCCTTCTTTTAAAAATATTTTTTTGCAGTTACTAATCTATTACTCTCTTTTTTTTTTCCCCCTGAGGAAGATTAGCCACGTGCTAACATCTGTGTCAATCTGCCTCTATTTTATATATGGGCTGCCACCACAGCATGGCTGACAAGTAGTGTAGGTCTGCACCTGAGATACAAACCCACAAACCCGGGCTGTTGAAGTGGAGTGCGCCAAACTTAACCACTATGCCACAGGGCCAGCCCCACTAAACTACTATTCTTGCATAAGCTTTAGAATCATTTAGACAAATTTTAAAGAAATTTTCATTTCCAAAAGTCTAACATATTTTCTTTTTTGAGATATATGTGAAATCTATAAATTAAATAAGGAAAATGAACACATTATAATAGTGAAACTTCCCATCAAAGAGCACGCTATGACTCTCCATTTACTGAGTCCCCTTTAATATCCTGAAATAGAGTATTTTTATATACCTCAATAGGTCTGTAAAGATATTCTTGTGTATTTTACTTTTTTCCATTTTAAATTATAACTGGTTATTGCTGTTGCACACACAAATATATATTGTCCATTCTCTGCACCAGCAATTCTCAAATTTTTTATCTCAAAACCACTTTACAGTCTCAAAAGTTATTGAGGACATCAAGGAGCTTTTGTACGTGTGAGTTACAACCATTGATATTTACTACATTTGTTCAAATGTCTAATTTGCAAAATGTTTGGATTAATTCATTTAAAAATAACAATAATTCTATTCTGTGTTAACATAAGTAACCTACTTTTATGAAAATTAATTATGTTTTCCAAAACAAACAAATATTTAGTGAGAAGGGAAGCACTGTTTCACAATTCTACAAATCTCTTAAATGTCTGGCTTAATAGGAAACAGTTACATTCTAATAAATGCTTCCACATTCATTCTGTTGGGAGAGTGCATCACACAGCCTCTGGAAAACAATGAACACTCATGAGACAATGAGAGCAGAAAAGGCAAAACATCTTAGTACTACTAAGAAAATAGCATTGACCTCATCAAACCTCTGAGAGAGTCTTGGGACCACATCTTAGGATCACAACCACTGCTCTATACTGAGCTCTTACCATTCCTTTTGTTTTGTTTGAGTTTATTTTCTACCTGTAAAACCAAAGTAAGCAAGTTCATAGCTTACAAATAATGACATCGTATCTCTGCATCTTTCAAAAGCCATGTTCTGTTATTTTTCATCTCTTATTAGATTGGCCAGTATTTCCAGAGCAATGGTAAGTAAAAATAATGAGAGCAGACTTCTTTGTTTTTTGTTACATAAAATCCTCAGTGGTTTTAGTGTTTTGTGGTTAAATATATCGACTGTTGGCAAGAAAATGGTATCTTACTAAACAATGATGAAAGCAAGCAAATAAAAAGGACAGATAAAACTCAAAAAACTAAAAATGCCTTTGGAAAATATTTTAAGGTACCAATAAACAAACCAGAGATGTACACAAAAAGGTAAGCACAGGCTCACTGATCTCTAGCTTTGTAACTCTCAGGAAAAACTAATGCTCTCAGCAAAAATAAAGGAGAGAGTGGATTTAGACAGATTATAATTCCATCCAAAGTCTATTTTTATATTTTACAGACATTTCTTCAAATGTCCGTTTATTCAAAAAATATTTATCAACTGTTTATGGTGCCAGGCAGTGGGTAACAAACGGAGAAGTAAAATCATGGGTCATAAAGCTAAAGAGAAGGCACATCTTTAGACTCCAGCCTATTAAGTAAAATTAATTATTTTACTGACTAGAAGCAAGCTAACTGATTTAATATAGCCTTCCAAGCCAGCATCATCACTTTAGCCTATTCTTTTGCTTGTCAGTGATGAGGTACAATGTTACCCAGACACTTGGGTAAGGTCCACAAATTACTTAAACGCAAAAAGAAAAAAAAGCAAATATAGACTTATAATCAGAAACAGCAATGTCTGGCAATGTGTGGGTTGTAAATAGCTATCACAGAGCTGTGGTTATTGCAACAGAGGCTTCAGATGGAACTAGGAGTATGTCAAACCACTATGAGAATGAGTCTACCATGAGGGCCTTTCTCTAGAGTATTCCTGTAAATTTATTTTATATTTTTGTACAAGGTCTCTTGGTCAACATCTACAGGAAATTGGATGCCCTTAGCAAATGCACTGACATAGATCTGAGAGTCTTTGCAATTTCAACATCAATTCAGGCCATGAGAGCACTTAACAAACGCCTTCGTGAGAGCTGTTTCTGTAAGTGCCACATTATGTGTCTAAAGTAACAATCACTTCATAAATAATAAAAATCCACTTTTCCATTGAAGGCAACTTTTCTGGAACATCAAATCATACTGATGACTTATGAATAAGTTGAATTGCTTAGGTTAGGGTAAAGAGAATGTGAGATCTTATGCATTTAATCCTAAAATACGATTACCTGAAGTATTGCTTAAGGAAGGGACTCCAAACCTAAAATCTACAACAGAAATAGCATAAGATAATTTTGATTGGATTCACAGTCAATTTTGCCCATCAGTTTATAGACAAACACATAATGTACATTATTAAGTAAAGAAAGTTGAATACATGCTTCTAGTCAAGAGTATGGGCTTAAACTTAAGAAATAGAGCTCTGGGCCAGCCCCGGTGGCCTAGTGGTTAAGTTCAGCACACTCCACTTCAGCAGCCCAGCTTCAGTTCCTGGCTGCAGACCTACACCACTCTGTTAGCAGCTGTGCTGTGCTGGCAGCCCACATACTAAAAACAAAAAATAGAGGAAGATTGGCACAGATGTTAGCTCAGGGAAAATCTTCTTCAGCAAAAAAAAGAAAGAAAGAAATAGAGTTCTAAGAGGCTTATACTCTTAGAGATGATAAAGGTAATTACCTATAAATGTAATTATGAAAAATTTTAGTTTCCATGACAATGATGGCTTTATAATCAAAGTTCACTGAGTTCTACTGTGAATTTGCACATTCTTGAATTGTCAGAAATTGACGTTTCAATGTCATCTGGCATTTTGGAACTATATGCA